CGCGTTTCCTTTTTTTGAAAATCGCCGATACGTTTTTTGACACCATGTGCATAGTGAACACCACAGGGGTGGAGGACATTAGGTCGCCGAATTTGGAAGAGTCCCGCGCGGATTCCCTGCAGGAACGCATGTCCGCGCATGTACAAGGGAGCGTATTTATCGCAAATGACCGCGGGGACCGCCCTTTTTCGGCGACCTAATGTCCTCCACCCCACCACAAGTTGTCGCGCGGACTCTCAACGAAAGCTTTCTCCATATAAAGGAAAGCAACTCACATTGCTCTTTCCTGTTTCTTAATATCAGTGTTCTGGTGGTGAGGATGGCGCTTACTTGCGCTATAAGGTTGTGTTCCCGGGCACTTTTATGCTATCATGTTGTGCTCCCCAAGTATTTTTTTTTCAGTTTGTTAAGACATCAAGCGAATTGTTTCTTTTTGAGAGCTGCGAATTTGCTACAAAGACAACACTGTCTACAGTAGAGCATTATATCATTATGTTGCATCTCATGTAGGGCCACCGGCATAAGCAAAACAAAAAAAATGTCTTCATAATGGTATTTTTGCGCATATCATCTCAGGCATGATGGGTTCAGCTCAAATGCGGATGTGCAAGACCTCAAGGGACATCAGGCAATGTTTGCAGTTATTAGGAATCAATCTGAGCATAAAGCATTGTGTGAAATAAAGGGCAGTTTTATTTGATGACCAGTGTTTCGAGTTTTGAAGAAAAACTTTGCCGGTGGCCGCTCATTTTGCTAACAAGGGAGGGAAGGCTGTCCGATGTGGCCTTTCAAGATGACATGCACACTGTCTTCTAAACCCTGTAACGTCAATCCTACCTCTGTTATCTGCTGGGGGGCCCTCTGAGCGAGGAGTTATGAAGGTTTTTGTGAGTAAAGAGTTGAATGCAAGATTAGTTCAAAATCAGTCATAACCTTCTCCTAAGTTCGAATGATGCAGCAGCAAGTTCATATATTTAAATCAAGACATTCGTTGCGCCGAGCGACTCGTCTACCAATTATGCCTTAGAAAATTGTAAGCACTGATTTTACACTAGTTTTGCATCCAACTTTCCAATCACAAAACCTTCATAACGCCTCGCTCAAAAGCCCGCAGATTGGAGACAGATGAATCAGCATTCCAAACTCAACAAAATGGTGTTCATCCCATCTAAAAAGGACACTTCGACCAACCTTCCTTCCCTTGTAAGACTATTGATAAGGCAAATCATAAATCAAAGGCCGCCTGCAATTTTTTCTTCAAAGATTGAAACACTAGTCAGCACCTAGAACTGCCCCTCAAACACAATGCTTTACGCTCAGATTGATTCCTAGTAACTGCAGACATTGCCTGATGTTTTGTGAAGTCTTGCAAATCCTTTGAATTGGGTAGAGGACTATATGTCGCCGAAAAAGGGCGGTCCCCGCGGTCATTTGCAACAAATGCGCACTCTTGTATATGCGCAGACATGCGTTCCTGCAGGAAATCCGCGCGGGACTCTTCATCATTCGGCGAATATAGTCCTCCACCCCTTTGAATTCATCGCCCAGACATGGCGGATTCGCTAAGATCGACGCTAGTAGCTGGGAGAATTTACGGTCAAAGGGAGTTTGAGAGCCATGATTCCAGAGTGGCCGTTGATTGAATGCTTACATGTAAATAAATGATAAGCGACTGAAAATGCGAACATTTGCTTTTACTACAATATTGATAATGTCATCAATTACATGTTAAATGAACAAAGACTGAGATTTATCACTGTTGGCCTATCAATCTACGCGATAAGTAAAAACATGATGGCTCAGTAACTGCGGAGAATGCAAGCCGATCGGCACGAACGACGTTCTTCGAGGTAAAGGTACTTAAATCCTCTTCTTCGGGTGAGCGTGGTACCAAGCAGGGCTCGGCACGAGGTGGCTAGATGAAAATGGAAAAACAAAGTCCTCCTTGACTTTTGGGAATTTACCAAGTCCCCTTTGACCCTCAACCAAATTTCCTTTAAGAACCTGAAAAATTCCCCAAAATCCCCCAAAAAACGAAACGTCGACTAAAAAAAACTAAGTTTATGAGCTTTAACCCAATGGTCATCTTCAGGGCCAACAGTTTTGACTCGATGGCAATTTTAAGGGCAGTGTTCACGCCACCAGATTTGGGAAACACCAGATCTACGGTTTTTATCAGTGGGCCCTCTTACTATACTAATGCCCAAGTCCCACGTGATAAATCCCCATCGCCGAAAAAATCGAGCTTAAAAGCTGATAAAAACCGTAAGCTCGCGGATCCCATTTCGGCGCTCACGCACGACTTGTCGGTTTCTGTCGCATTCCAACACGCCCTTCTAACGCCATCGTGTTCAACCTTGCGGCCAAAGCTGCGGTAGAAGTGACAGCTCGTCCGCGCCTCTCCTGCAGAGCTTCTCAAAAAGGAGTTGCTAGAATTTTGTGCGGAGTTAAGCCCGTACAGGGTATACAAGGTCGGAAGGGCCTGCAGTTCGCAAAAAAAACCCTTAACCCAAATTCTGGAGAGGTGAGTTTATTGGATGGTACATGGGGATAAAACTCAGTGCGACTTTACGGATTTTATCGTGCAAACTTTCTTTAAACGAAATTTGAAGAAAGTAGGTTGATCCAAAGTGTGGCTGCCAAAAACCGGGATTTTGATTAGCGAAAAATCATGAGAATTTGCAACTGCTACAGTGCTGGACATGCTGGACATAATTATAGCCATTCTAGAAATCGTCGTAGTTTTCGTTATTGTCAATGAATCTGTCTGAAACTTTCCTGTATTGTGCGCATGTCAACCTTCCATGACCCCTCAAAATGGCTTCCAGTCTTGTTGAGCTTGAATGGAGAAAACAGAAAATTTTTAAATAGCTCTTAATGAAAGCTGGAATAAATTATAAAGCCACCTGGTTCTTCTCATCACTATCGCATTCGTTGACTCTCAAATTTTTTTGTACAATCACATCCCAAAACATGAAACATTTGTGACACCTACGGCATGTCTTCCTACTCAAATAGAAGCGATCACTGCATTTTTTGCTTTCATTACTGCAAAACTTCCGCTATTCCTTTCTTTTGCAGCAAGTTTTGAGAAGCTAGCAAACAGCTGCTGTCTAAACTTGAAGCTTCGGTACGTTAGTTGAGAAGCACAAGAATTCAGTTTTGCAAAAATCAATGATATCGCTTAATATATTGGATATCTCATTTTATGTCACTTGTAAAGTGCGTGTTCGCTTAGACTCTTGCACCAACTTTCAGCAACTCAAATCTTGCAAAGATCTAAAAAAAATTTGAATATGAAAACTACATACGTAATTAGCAGTGCCAGTTTCCAGTCCCAAATGTCAATGTTTCCAAAGAATGGGTAAATTCTATAGAGACGATCTTCAACGTGAAGACCTTGCAATCAGTGTTACTTATCCCTTTCCTCCTTTACCGAGTTCCAAGAGCTAGGCATACTCAAGTAGCAGTAGACTGATACTGAGCAATAACTGAGTAAACTGTGACAATCCTCCCCTTCGGAGTGTCTGTGTGCAAAATTTGGTTTGGATGGTGGGCGGTGTCTAGACGAGGAGGGGTGAGGAATTTCTTGATTAAATTTAAGGCTATGTATTTAGTTATAATTAAGGATTTTTATCACATGATTCTCGACTATCACAATCATTTAAAAATTTATTACCATTCTTCACTCCTCGACAAGTTGTTATGAATTTGCTGTAGGCCCTGGGCATATCAGACGCGATTCCTGTCGCACGCGATCTGGCAATTTGTTAGATGTCTTCAAATTCAACGCTCGCAAACGGCGTGCATAATGCGTGCAATTTTCGTAGACTAATGAAAGGTTGTCCTATCTTCTTCACATTCAGAATACTCTTAGCTTTGACCGTCTTACGCAACAATCGCCAAGCGATTTGGCAATTCTTTGGATGTTTTCATATCCAACAGTGGCAGGCCGCAAATGTATGTCTGTACGACTTTCGGAGTTTGATAAAATGCCCCGTGCTTTGCACTTTGAAATGCACGAATGATGATTCATGGACGATTGGAGTATCGCAAATAGCGTCGCGACTAAAATTGCGTGATGTATGGCGAGGGCCATACGATGACTCACACATATTATTAGGTTGGTCCGAAAGTTCGTTCGCACCATTTTCAAAAAATCATAACTTCTTTCCTTCATAACCATTTTGCGCAATTCAATTTTTATTAGAAAACGTAAAGCATGTAGTTTCCAACAGTCCCCTACAGGCTGTCTAGCATGTTCAGATTGCAGAGATAAAAATGAAAGAACGAGAACATCCGAAATTAGGAATTTTTGAGAAACAATTCCAAAAATCTAGAAACTGGGCGATAAAATCCAGAAAAGCCATTATCCTAATTTTTCTTATATTTGATTACTAACTGAGTTAAGTTTGTGCTGATCGAGCTCTTCTTTCAAAAGTTATGATTTTTTGAAAAAAAATGCCGAAAAATCAATTTCTTAGGAATTCTCAGGAAATTGATTTTTCGGCATTTTTTTTTCAAAAAATCATAACTTTTGAAAGAAGAGCTCGATCAGCACAAACTAACTCGGTTAGTAATCAAATATAAGAAAAATTAGAATAATGGCTTTTCCGGATTTTATCGTGCAGTTTCTAGATTTTTGGAACTGTTTCTCAAAAATTCCTAATTTCGGATGTTTTCGTTCTTTCATTTTTATCTCTGCAATCTGAACATGCTGGAAAGTCGCCAGGGAACTATTGGAAACTACATGCTTTACGTTTTCTAATAAAAATTGAATTGCGCAAAATGGTTATGACGTAAAGAAGTTATGATTTTTTGAAAATGGTGTGAACGAACTTTCGGACCAAGCTAATATAATAATTGAAGCAGGGACAAGTTGCGTCGAATCAAATGATTTCACTGAGTTTGCGTAAAATATGCCCGAGGTCATTAAGCTCCATATTTTTTATTACAATTTGATCGTATTTAGATAGCACCAGTTGCTGATGAACTGACCTATGTCGTTTTATTGTGAAAGGAACAATAACTTGAAAGGTTCAAGCGTTAAAATAACAAGCCATTTTCTTGCACACAAACGTTCTTACAGTGATTCTGCAGGGATAATTGGCCCACTTTCGATACCATAATTTTGTATATTCGCTTACGTGAGGATCAGACCACAGCTGAAAATATATGAATGATTTTATGACTTTTATGAATGATTGTATATGAATAAACTATGAAAGAGGAACAGCTCATGGATTGCAAATTTTGAATTTATATAATCAGCACAAACTTCCGCAATTTACCCCTTTACTATTTCCGTTTGAAAGTTGGCGTGATCAAAGAGCGAATTTGCTTTTGTCCCCTTTACTCCTGAGATTCAAATTCATTATAGGATTTGTTGGTAGGCATATGGATTTGGCGAAAAAATTGACCAAAACTATGTTTTGATAACGAAAATTTAGCTTTGTGTGCATGCCAATCAACGTGCAAAAAAATAGCTTAAACCTTTTCTTGGATCTCATTCACACAAAGAATGAATACTAAGCCAAAGACTCTGAAAATGATTAAGGATTAATTATACTTCAAAAAGAAAAGGAGCATGCATAAACATCGAATATTCGGTGTGAAACGTTGTGTGCTCTTCGCTTAGGGCCATTTTGCGACCAGAGTAGGATATACCGTTGAAAAAATTCTATCAGTCACAAAATATCGAAGAAAGAATGATAGACCATTTAGTGCTAATGTGAAATTCTTCAACGTAACGTCGACTTGAGAAAAAGTGCGAGAAAGAGGAGCAAAGGATCAAGTTTAGCTTTCCTGTCCTTAACGGGCCCGGTACAGGTGGAGATCAAGCTGAATATTGTTTTTGGGAGAAAAATAGTTAATTTAGTTTTTGATAATAAAAAAATGATTTAGTTTTTAAGGGATCCTCAAAGAAGAGCAGCAGGCATGCCGCAAGGTATTCTTTACCCCAACGTAGCATGCACGTTGTTTAGAGCCAAAACGCAATGGTATAACCCTAACTTTGGTGTGCGCATGCGCGTGAGAGGAGTGCTGAACTATGGCACAAATATTTATGGAAACTTATGCGAAAGCCGTGCTGAACTTTTTTCCAAGTTGATTGGAACTGTTCCAGCTGGGTTCCAGCTCATCTGAAAACAACCTGCTCACTAATTGTTACAAACTTTTCTGCATGTACTGTACCCTCCCCGTGAAAGTTTTTATACGAGCAAAAAACCTTCATAATCTTTCTTCTAAGCTTCCCTCAAAAGTTTTGGTTGGCGGCGCAATCTGCTCCTATCCCAAAGCAATCCAGTTTGGCCTTGGGTATGCTTGCATGTCTAGTTTCCTTTTGCTTTTTATATTCTTTTTTGTTGTAATGCCTGTTAACATTCTCAGAGAAGCGGAAGGAGGAGGTGGATGGCGTGATGAGAAGAGACGGAAAAATTAGGTAGCAAGTAAGGGAGATGAAAGGAAAGGCGGAGGGAGGGGGGGGGGGGGGAGGAGACAAGTGCTGGACAGGTAGATTCAGGCCCCGAACATACAGCAAAACGAGTCAAAGGTTCATATGTGAAAAGTAATAAAAAAATTTTTTTTGTTCACAAACAGCTAAGACTCTTAGCCTCATACTTCAATATTGGGGTGAGCGACAGCACATGGAAAAAAGACAAGAGAAATAGTCAGAGGGGGGGAGTTAAGGTCAAAGGGGACTTGGTAAGAATTTTATCAAAGGGGGCTTCGTCAGAAATTTATCCCGATTCCAGCTAGTACCGAGCTCTGCTCTCAGCTGAAACAGTTCCATCTAGTTTAGGAAAAAGGTTGTTCGCCTTTTAGTCGGATAAGCTTTCACCTGTTGTTAGAAATAGCGGGAAAACCCCAATAGCACGAAAACAACAAATTTGTCATAATCACGTATTCGCTGTAAGATAATTGTTTTGGGGCAATATTCGGGATCGCGCTGCGCAAGGTTTTGTATCATTCATTTTGTGACTAAAGGAAGTCGGGACCTCTTCACACATTGGCATAAAAAAGCTTAACTAGTTCGTTTCCGCTTCCGGGTGACAGATAATCGTAGACTAGATAATGTTCAAACACACAAACAAGATCATTTTAACAATATGTGCAAAGCAGCTGCAATCCACAAGAATACGATGAAAGCATGTACTCAAATGTCCTACCTGGACTTGTTCAAGCGAAAAAATGTGTGAATAGACAACCCCTAACCTGAGATTTGATTCTAATCTGCCGAATGTTCAAAAAAGTTATCCAATAGAGTCTCAACCTACAACTCTTCTTAGGATTCAACCTTCTAGAATGTTACAATCAATCTTTGACAATTTTTATATGTACCTATTAAATATTATCAAGTCAAAGAAGGATTTAACTGAGATTTAGAGCTGTTTTCCTTGAGCCTCACAAAATTTTTTTGATCTAAATTAATAGGGTAACAGAAGCAATGCTCTTCATGTAGTCATTCAATGGCTTAGCAATGAGATTAATCTCGTAATTCAAAAACTTTGTCCTCAAAATGTAGCGGAATTCGGCAACCTACTTGGATAATTCTCTTTGAAATGGCAAAAAATGCATGTCTTTATTTCAGCACGTCAAACTTTTTTGCCTCTCCAATACAATGTCAAAGGCTATTTTGGTTATGGACCTGCTTGTTCATAATTGTCATGTCTTTGATTCCTTAAACGAGATACAAAAGCAACAATTATCACGCGTATGTGGTGTTTCTGTTGTTCAAAATGTTCCAAACTTTATGTTAAAAAACGATTTGGATTGCTCAGCAAACATTGCTCAAATTTTCATAATTACAGTCTGCCCACGAATGTCAAATAAATGGAGCAGAAAGGAAGAAAATTTTGAAAACTCTCCATTATCTTCCCAAGATGTCTGTGGCCCCAGACAGTGTGCATAAGTATTAACGATCGCACCTTGAAATAAATGCCATTGATCGTTGCAGCACGTAAATTCCGAGTAAGGTCCTTAGATTTGCTGAAGTTCGCAGGAAAAGCGCAAAAATCATCAAAGCCCTACTCGACGCTCAGGTTTTTTCAGCTGCGTCACTTTACCCGCCCGCAGAGTATGAAAAAACCTAAGCCTCGCTCTTTAGCTTCTCGTACGACTCCATCCAGCTTTGGCTGGCTGTTCTACCACCACGCTAAGGCAAGCCTCAACAATCTCATTACTTTACTCCCTTTCCTCTTATTCTTGTCTTCTGGTTTTCATCCCTCTTTGCAACATGTCTTACTGTATCTCCTTTGTATTTATTGCCTTTTGCATAATGTTGATGACACAAAGGTAACTGTGGTGATTACTGAAGTGCATAGATGAAAGGGGTTACTAGGAAGAGATTATATAACGATACTGCACAAAGTTGTTTAGACACACCTGAACCGATTTTTTTTATTAAAGTTAACAAGTTGAAAGGAGTGAAGACAGCTAGTTTAGCGAGGGATCTTTCTGCCATTTGAAAGCTACTTCTGCGCTGAGCTCATAGCATTTAGATATCATGCAAATCTTATTGAAATGTTTTTTTTGAAACAAACTACTTAAACCAGAAGCATAACGAGGAGCAATTTTGGGGAAACCAGTTGTTTTACTACAAATTTTATGTCCAAAGCGCACCTCGCAAAAAAGCATTCCCCTTGTTATTCCCCAAAAACAATATCCAGCATGATCGGTACCATCAATGTTGGCTCTGATTCTGATTTGAAAATCATCGCTAAGGCCAGCTGTGGACCTTTTTTTTAAAAAGCCGTACCAGCACACAACGTTCTGCTCCAGGATGATCTGGAGTCCATTCTAAATAGTCAACTGCAGTGCCGTCAGTCCACATCCACTTGACTGGCAACCTGCTGTCCAAATGATCAGATCGTACCAAACCTATCCAGGTTGTGTCATCAGCACCGGTAAGTGTCTTGCCAGACTTCGCCAGCTCTAAAACACAAAGCAGTGCCCTTATTCAAGTTGAAAAATGAAATTACCAGCTACAAAAGCATTTTCTTTATAGCTGTGGATTGAAGTCAGATGTCCTCCAACAGTTATACATACGCTCTCGGCACCGTCAAAAGTTGCTGAGAAGAAATTCTGTAAAGTCATTATATGCAATCATAACCCTAAAAATGTCAAGTCAATGAACAAAAGCACGTGGGCAAAGATTACTGCCCTTGAACATGTTTGCACAAAACCGCCTTTCAAGGGTCGCGTGGACATCCCGCTCGGGAGAGGGACACCAGTGTTGTGGATTCTTTCTACTACTCTTTACTGTAAACAGACTGAACGGGAGCGAGTAGTATAAGTCCCAAATTCCAGTGTGTGTGTGTGTGTGTGTGTGTGTGTGTGTGTGTGTGTGTGTGTGTGTGTGTGTGTGTGTGTGTGTGTGTGTGTGTGTGTGTGTGTGTGTGTGTGTGTGTGTGTGTGTGTGTGTGTGTGTGTGTGTGTGTGTGTGTGTGTGTGTGTGTGTGTGTGTGTGTGTGTGTGTGTGTGTGTGTGTGTGTGTGTGTGTGTGTGTGTGTGTGTGTGTGTGTGTGTGTGTGTGTGTGTGTGTGTGTGTGTGTGTGTGTGTGTGTGTGTGTGTGTGTGTGTGTGTGTGTGTGTGTGTGTGTGTGTGTGTGTGTGTGTGTGTGTGTGTGTGTGTGTGGACTGATAAAGCAGTGTCTAGGCACCTGTCCTCATTATTTGGAGGACAATTAGCATGGACTAACAGACTTTTGCGCGAGAACTTCCATCACTTAGGCGTGGCTCCCCGCGCAAAAGCATACTAAACAATGCAGGCCGTCCGGAATTACAGTAGTGGGACTTGATCAGGAGATAGAAATCTCAGTTGCAAGTGCATATGCATATGCGCTGTCGCTTGGACACTCAGGTGATGCGCTCCCAGCTGAGATTTTTCTTTTCAAACTGTTCTTTGTTTTTATCTCGAGCTTCAAGTTAAGTTTTTACATGCGATCCGTCTTTGGATTTGCTCGGACGCTGCCCTTTGCGCTGAGACTTCACACAGATATTATCGTAACGGGGAGTGTTCAACTGCCCGAAACATCCTACTTTGGTCAGTGAACTTGAAAATACCTTGTAGCAAGCATCCGTCTCATTGTAGTAAGTCCATCCACTTTCGCAATATCCACGATGTGCTAAAAAAAACAAGTAACAATGATGGGCAGGATCATGTGAGATCATTCACACGGCCATGATTGGCACTAGATATTTTTAGGGCAGCGATACGGTCGTATTTCAGCCAAGACCAGATAGCGAACGCGTTCTGATCTGTGCTGGGAACATGTGTGAAGAGGTTACATCAAGATCCCATGAGTCTTTGATTTTCGATTATTTGCTGCAATACGTGAGAAACTTCTTATTTCCAGCTAGTCATCAGAACCCATTCGGTAAAGCAAAAAAGCTCTACCAAATGCCTGTGCTACAGCTTATACTATTTCTCGCTCTATGTTCAATTCAAAGTGGACAGTAAGAACCTGCAAATGGATAGGAAAAAGAAATTAAGTGAATGCCAAATTGTTAGAATTTGAGGATGTGAAAAACCATTAAGTCTGTTGGCAGCATAAAGTGGTTTCTAAGAGTTGGAATTCCTTTAAAAAATACAAATACTAGTGCTTGTTTTTAACTTTTCTTTGCATTCCGGCAATAACAGCATGTGCAGATTAGAATACTTGATGCGGTTGTCTTCATTGTGCTATACTGATTTCTTGCTTCTCTTAATCGTCGTCTCAAAAAAGTTTTTAAACAGGGTTCTTTCTCAAGACTGCTAAATTTGAAAGCTTCTTTTAGGAGCACTTACTCGCAATGCTTACACACACTTCCAAATATCCATTCAAACTCTGTACAGCTTGTCTTGAGTCATCCTCGTTAGCTTTTTTCGACTACGAGGAAGAATCTTAAGGTGACCAATTTTGTCAGCGCTACTCGATCAAGCTTAGCGAGCACATTTACCGACTCCTACAAGGACTGTAACGATGCTATCTGATTACCTCCGGCTATTCCGAGAAGCGGCCCTAGAAAGCGGCACAACCTTGCCAATGTTGCTCAATGCGGCCTTGAAGCGAGTAGTGAGGTCGCTGGGCTGGGACGAGAAAGACCTACAAGTTGTCGAGAAACTCTTTTGAAAGTATTGTTTTGCAAACAAATTCGTTGACTTTTAAAGAAGTATTCCACTGAAGCAGAGAAGATGTCGACGTCAGCCAGATAGCTTATACAATTCTTGAACAACCGCAGCAAGCATGTTAGAAGCAGGCATACTGGCAGAACTTCACGGATAAGAGAAAAAGTACGGGAAGAGTAGAAAAGGCCTGTTACGAAAAACCTTTGTCAAGATACAGAATGGCCGACCTTCTATACCTTATTCCTTCGAATTTCGCATGTGAAGAAGGATTAGAGGGAACAACTCCCAGGGAGAAATATCTTTAGGCCTTCTTTAGGCCGTTGAAAGAGAACCGACATGTCACTACCGTATTAGTTGTGGTAGCTGTGTGGACTTCAGCCACCTACTAAGATATTAAAGCAGCTTTATGGCTAGAGTTAAGATTTAACTACCATATCTACAGTAGGATCCCTTAAGCGAAGTGAACTTAGTATTTTTGAACAGAGTGATATGCAACCACTCACGAGGAAATCTCGATGAATGCGATTCTTGCGTTTTGGGCGGTGTTCATAAGGACGTAATTTTCTAAGCTCGTAAATAACTCGGCAACTATTGAAGATTTGAGCCTGAGACGTTCACCGTTCAATAGGATGATTCCTAGTGACTTTAAGACAGATACGCGAAGAGTGAAGGCGAATTTACTAATTATCGCGGCTTAGGTACAGGCTCCGTCACCATTTATCTATTAAAAGACCCTGTTCTTCGCAAGGAACGCGATTTTGTGAACAGCGTGTCCAGAAGTCTCTATGAGCGAAGTTTCCTTTCAATCCAAGAGCAATCCCTATAATTTGGCCAAACCATCGGCAATCTTCGGAGTAAAAAGAGAAAAAGCAAATACCTCTTGGAAAGCTCGCTCTCAGATATTATTTGAGACGCTGATTGCGAAGATCACACCTGCTTGGCTAGATAGCTTCATTTTAAAGTTACGATGAGTAAAATTTCGGAAGACATTAACTTTTCAGAATTCGCCAGCTCTTTTACCTCTTTGGAAAATAAGTCTCCGTTAAAAATAGCGTTTCTCTACAACTATCAGGACAGCATCATTACAAGAATGATACTTTGCCATATTTTGTAAAAATCCCAGATCAAAAAATCATTGTTCATCATATCCAAGGTAAGACCTGCTAACATTTTGCTCTGTGTTCAGATTTTGGCAAGCTTGGTTGAATCTGTCAGAGCAATCCTTTTTTCAATCACCGCATGCGCTCAAGAAAACAATTAACAATCAACAAAAAATCTAACGCGGAAAATTGGAGCGTTGACAAACTACAAAAACTTGGTAATCCGTCATATGCACGCCATTTTCCGTAGTTCTACAACCTATCATCGGCTTTACGATTTGTGTAGAGGAGGAGTTGTGGCAGCTCAGAGCGTGGCGGTTTTCGATAGCGAGAGAGTACGAAGAACATTGCCATAACGTAGATGTTTAACAAGTTTACCCTTATAGTCAGGAAAGGTCTTGTCATGACAAGACAAGGCCTTTCCTTACTATAAGGGAAAGGTCCTGTCATGGCATCCTGCACATCTAAACTCCAGTAAAGAGACCTGGTGCTTGCTTGTTTTTTTCAGTCTAACAATCATACTCCTGTACCGGTATAAGTGTCTATTATATATCGGATGAATCTTTGTACCTTTTAACAATAAGAGATTTGGAGTGTGCTTCTCGTTTCTCTGTCTCGCTATGTATGCAAGTTTTTTTTGCGAGTGATGACGTAAAAGGACTATACATCTTTCATGCAATTGACTTCGGATACTTCAGTTCAGTCAGATTTTTGACAAGCTCGTTTAATTAGCCAAAATTACCTTTATCCCAAAAAGTTTGTTATTTGTGCCCTTCTACCAACCGCCAGCATATTGAACAGCTTCACCTAACGCTTTACAATAACGCAGAAATCATAAAAGTCGACTCGGAGTCTGAGACAAGGACAGAAAGTTGATATACTTACGTGCATTGCAGTGGCTCACAGAAGAAGGCTCATGAAGATATGGCGATCTGTAAGTTTGACGTTTTTAAATAATTATGCTGAGGTGAAACAAACCTCGAGATTTGCACACTGTTGTTTGGATATGAGATGCTTTTTGTTAGTGGAATCAAGAAGAGGAGAAACAACATCGAACGTCCTGGCTCCTCGCTTTCACTTCTGTGTACTGTAACTATACATATAACATAATTTTGGTCCCTCGATGGATTTACGATAAAATGAGAAAGAGCTGTCTCAGGCAAGCATTCGAAGCGGTTGGTGCAGATAATAAACTTTCTAAGATGTTGTTAAGGGCATTTTATACTAGAACTCATTCTGTGATTAAGGGCTTTCTTAACTAAAGTAGCTGAAGTTCTCTCTCATATTTCTGCAGTTCTATTACGCATTTTTTGCCATTGGCAGCAAAAAGAGTTCTTCTCGGCACTGATATGAATAAATCCGCTTCAAGAACTCTTCCCCAGATATGGTGTAGTAGAATCTTCATTCCATCCCCAATATCTTATACTAAAAAAAGATTCAACCATAGACACAAATCTTCCTTATCATCTTGACACAAATTCTGATTTCGGGAATTTTCTTTGACTGTGTCACAAAACACAAAGTTCGCTTCCTAAAAGCATTACTTATGTCTTCCAATTACCTAGAATTTGCTATCAGTCGTAATATGTAACTTCAGAACTTTTCTATAGTATGATTTGCAGTACAGCTTTACCCTCCGAAAAACCTAGTCCCCTTCTCTTCTGAAGGCTAGCTCGAAATTCAGTCCATTCGAAACTTCTATCGTAAGCTATGCAGAATATTTTAATTGAATTTTGAAGTTGAAGTTTTGAATAACAAGGGAATTCAAAAATGCTTCATAATTACATGAACTTGCCCTTGTACAATCTTTCTGCATCTATTATGATTTTGACGCTAGGAAGTCAACGAGTTCATAAAAACGTTTTAACCTTTTTCAAAGTGTTTAGACCTATGACTCAAGAGTCCAAAACTAAGCCTCTAATCGCATAATGTCAAAGCGATTACAGCGTCCTTACAGGTAGCTAACTATCAGCAAAGAGGATTGCGCTATACTCTTAAAAAATAAGCCTCTGTTGCCTGTACATTCGCACACGACTAGACTATGCTAAAACATAACTCTAGAGCTTAAAAGTATGTGCTCTTAAATGCTTGTGCATGACTCTCTTATGAGGTTTTTAGCAGTCCTATGGGTCATCCTCTAGAGATGGCTTCCACGTAGATCTACAGTGCAGAAAAGTCATGAAGAAATTGCTGTTAAGGGTATTTAAGATTTGGAAAAGAAACCAAGTAACATGGAAATTCTCACACCAAGCTAATGATTAGGATGCCTTGTATAAGATACGCCAAATACACCGCTGCAAACCTTTTTTTTCCAACATCTTTCAAAACTGTGACTACTCTGCAAAAAATTACACAAACCTGTGAAAAAACAGTAAACTCGTGGGCTTAATCATGCTATGCAACATTTCACCTTTTTGGCTTTTTTGAAACAAATTCACGGCGAGGTTGTTTGGAGGAAGTTCTCACCATAATCTTGATGATCAAGAGCGCGTATTGCTTTATTGTAATTCACGTAAGTCGCATCTAATAATAAGGGAAACCCCGGGGGCCTAAGTTTTCAGTACGTTATGATGGTAGCGAAAAGATCAGACGTTTGCGCTCATTTGATCATTTCAAAGGATGGTAGTCGATTAGCATTCGTTTCCGTTTGCACTCGCGTAATTTTAGCTTCCTTGCATACACACCCTGTAGAAAGGAGGCTATCACACTGATTTCCCAAAATTGACGTATACCACTGTTACATGATGCTAAGGCCTAAGGCATACTTTGCGCGATTACTGTCGCTGTGCAATTTGGCACAACATCGACTCTTTGTAATTCGTCGTTATTGTGTTTCCTTTAGTTAGAACTTAATTCAATTGCAAACAAGCTACCCGCCTATGCGTTCGAAAAGCGCGCACGATAAATGTGAGAGATCTGGCAAATCGCCAAGTCGGTTGAAAGTGGCGATTTGAACAGATCGCGTGAAGTATGCCTCAGGTCTAACTTTAAATTTGGAATGACAGCTATAATATCACATGCAAGCTGCGAGCGCCAGAAGTTAGTTTCCAAAACAGGAAACATCTTCTAAGATAAGGCAAAACGTTGCGTTTTTTTCCTTTTCATATCCTCAGTGGCCGCCATTAGCTTCAAAACCTGTTGGTTAAGAAGAATTCATCATACCGATGTCTTTATACGTACTGTTACACATGCTTGTTTTTGAGTAACTCTTTTGCCACGAGTTGGTGCGTCTTTACAATCCGTTCTAGCTCTAGCTTGAAACCTAACCGTTACGCACTCTGGTTTACTGATTGACTTTTTACCTATCTAAGAACTCTTCAAATATGTAGCCACATTTCCAAGTAAATGAAGATTCGACGCAATATACTCTGGTCTTACAAATAAAGCGCTAGCGAAAGCAGACATCCTACTCAAGAGTCAGCTAACTGCCGTAAAAGTTCCTAGATCGTTTCGTTTTGTTTTCGAACAAATTGGCTCCTGAAGTTCAAAATTCATCCAAAGTTATTAAGGTACTTCCAGACTAGCAAAAATCAACATGTGGTTGTTCTGCCTTGTAATTTTACGCGCAAGCTTGCTCTACAATATGACATTTACTGCTAATGACCTCAAGACAAGAAAATCATTCGCGATATACTGTTGTACATATTTGGGACACAAAAATACGACTGGCCAACCTTGATTGAATCTGCGCTGTTGTAAGGCTCTAGTGATATGCTCGCATAGTTTAATCGTTTACAAATTCTAAGCGCGAAGAATCTTGCTTTACGAATGGTGTAGTTGCTATCGTGAAATCTTCCTTAGGAAAGTCAGTTAATTGATAGGATGCTGCAATCGCTTCAAAATTTTCTGATTATATCTTGGATTTAATTTGAAATTGAGCTACAGGTTGAAACACTTTAGAACGGTGACAATTTTATAAATCCACGCATGAATCAGAGTTTCTTATATTGAAAGAAGAATTATAATAGGTAAAGAAAATCTGTAAAGAACAATTTTATGCATTTATTTAAGAAATTCGGCTTATCTTTGATCAAATGGAGTGCATTTTGATGTAGCGCACAGGGACCATGGCGTTTGAGGGTGAGTACTTTGTAGGGGGAAGTTACAGGGTAAAACACACTTCTGAGAAGAGAGAAGTCCTAAAGTTCCGCAAGGCTGATAGAAAATTCTAACTATATGTATTTAGAAATTACGTAGTAAAGTTTCCAGGAAGCAGACTTTGAAAACATAAAAACTGAAGCTGTTCGACATGCTGGCAATTATTGGAAGACTACTGCAAGTATCAGTTTTTTCTGGTAAAGGTGCAGGTAAAAATTGCAAGCAAGCTCATCCAAATTCTATACGCAATAAGTTCCGAAGCAGTCGACAGCATAATTTTGCGAATAAAGGTCTCTGGCTTTAGCTGCAGCTTCAGCAAAATAGCATTCACAGTTGCTGTTTTGTGATGCTGTTTTTAATTCGATTTTTGTGAAGCCTTCAATCACAACTTTGTGCTACTGTGAACAGAGTAGGTTGTGGTGATTGTATGTTCCACATTCTATGGCTCCTTTAAGTTGAGTAGGTTTCAAAAAAAAACTGCTCAAATGTCTTCTTTTGCTCTCACTTAACAGAATCTTTTCGGCAGCTGTTCCACTTACTCAGACGGTCTATCTTCACTGTCTTCAGTATTATCGCGTTGTCATCTATTCTTGTACATAGCCTCTGATATCCTCTTGGTAACCAACGGTAGCTATCTTTGCCAGTTACAAATGCAAAAGTCGTGCTCAGCTAATCTTTTGGTTATTATGTAATTCCACAAAAAGTTCTAAGTATAAGAATACTTACGCTTATAGAGTTACACTTTGTCAGCTGTTAGTGCAGGAATATTAGTGAATTAAACAACTTTACTTAAGTACCCAGCATTTCCGGCGTTCCTGCAAGACTGCCAGCTTTCGACGTGGCTACAGCATCGAGCCAACTCTCAGCTGCGTATCAAAGCGCTGGGACAATGGTTGACGAACACTCAGACAATTCACCGGAACTTCCGCAGGACAAGCAAAATTTGCAGCGGTTAAACAAAATTTTGTTTATTGCGAAAATGGAAACTTCAAAAGAAGGAAGTTCCACGGAAATTTCACGTCAGACTGGTTGAAAACGCAAATCTTCGTAGTGCTTCTTACAAATGATGCGGAAACTCCAAAAATGCAAGCGATCCCGGAGCACTTTGACTGGCCAGTACTTCTCAGGACTTGAATGTTTTGTCTCTTACGATGTTGCTTCGCCAACAACTAGAGTGCATTGTTGAACAGTCATCCGTTGTGCAGAGAATAGTCAGTAAGTCTCACAGTTAATAGATCAACGTTCGAATCTCGCTAAGGTGTTCTCTTTTGCTGTTGTGGTGCATTCTTCGGAACTTATGCAGTACCTCATTTGGGAACTTCCGCAGCACATTTGCGGAACTTCCGCAGATGACCCGGCGGAACTTTCCTAAACTTTCTGCGGAAGTTTTGGTCAGATGTGAGCATGTAGCCTCGGAACTCCAGGTCCGTCAGTTCCCGGATGGCTTCCTTGGTGGCCCGGAGGCCTTGATATTCGTCGCAAGTTTCTGTTGCAAATGTGCAGATATAAATTTGGACAGTGAAGAACGCTTAAAGGGGAGGAATACTTCTTTACTCTTTTTGTATGCCTGCTCATATAATGTAGCATAGCGTGCAGTTGACTTTTTGAAGTACGAGATCGTTCCTGATGTTCTTGTTGTTTTTGCGCTTGTCGTTATCTTGACGGAATAGCAATCGCCTCAATCACCCTGATGGTAAATTGCACATTCTTCCTTCTTCTAGAACTGAGCAATTTCGTAGACGTGCTTGTACAACAGCAAGCATCATCTCTATGGTCATGTGTACGAAAAAAAGAGAGACACGTTTGCAAGACAACTTTTAGCGCTGGAAACACTGTAAAACGCACGGCGGCGAAAGCAATATCCGGTAGGTGGACAAAATCGCGCCAGAATTGCGAACCCAAATCAAAGAAACTTCTGACTTTGGAGATATCTGAAGAGATCTCACTTGGAAAACAGCACACGTTAAAGGCAGCGTCCAGGCAAATCTGGATATACGGTTTTGATGTGGAAAGTGATTTGGAGCCCTAACTAAGACATTGCCCAAGCAGCAGCTCAAATGGTGAACTCACAGTTGAGATATTTGCCTCCAAAGTGGACCCCGGTATCGTATTCGCATGGATTTATGGCGCGAACCATCAGTCTCGCGCGAGGACCACGCATGTCGCGACATAAATCCATGCAAATACGATCCCGGGGTCCAGTTTGGAGGCGAATATCCCAATTGTGAACTCACCATTTGAGCTGCCATTTGGGCAATGTCTTAGATAAGGCTTCAACATTACCCTCCAAGTGAGATCCCCATAGGTCCAGATTGCGTGGACACTGCCTTTAAGCGGAACAAGTGAATGAGAGTTTTAAAAATAATCTAAAGATTGTGCACCCACTCAGTTGGTAAAAGGCGGAATTCGTGTCGCTTTCAGATTGTTTGGTGTCATTTCTGTATATTATATGCTCTTATCTAAGAAACGGCAAGGCATTTCGTAATGAACTCAGTATTATACTATACTGTTATTACTATTATTAATATTACTCAATATATACAGGGTGTCCCAAAAGTATGTATACACTGTTTAATCGTTAATATCTCTTTTCCCAAGGAGTCTTTTGCCTTGCTTCAGGTATCATTTTGTAGAGCTGGCTTCAACTTAGATTTGCAGCATAGAACGAATTACCCATCTCTCTTCATTACTGTAGGATTACGGTAGAAACTTGAAACATATAGTGTCAATGTGGAAAAGCTGCCGTTTCAAAATTTTTGAAAAAAAAGGTGAAAACTCGTGTAATAAGGTTTTTACGGACGCTGAGTTCAATACTCAACTATTCACAAAATTGCGAAGCTTTCTAAACGGTGTAACCGCACTTTTTTAGGAACATTGAAAAAATGACCGCTGCCTCTTACCTGGCATAACTCTTTAATGAAGATCATAGTAAGTTGGGAACCTTACAATTAGAATCAGCATCTCTAATTAGCCTAGTGTAAAAGTTTTCAGGCTGTTTCTTTCCTTCTGAGGCAAAATATGGCCTTTTATGAAAAACCCTCTTTGAAGTTTCCACCGTAATCCTACAGTAATGAAGAGAGGTGGGTGATTCGCTCCATACTGTAACTCTAAGCTAAAGACAGCTCTACAGAATGGTACCTGAAGCAAGGCAAAAGACTTTTTGGGAAAAGAGATATCAGCGATCAAACAGTGTGTACATGCTTTACGGACACCCTATATATGAACCCAAACTTCATGGTGGATTTTGATTGCGGTTGTATGATTATTTGTATGCTCTTTTTCGTTCCTTTTGTAAGGAACGCAAAGAGCGCATTGAATAAATAAATAGCTAAATAAATATTTTGATTATCTCAAATGTTTCCACCACATTTGAGCAAGATTAATAGCTATCGTGCTTTATAGAGTTAAGGGACCTAAACTGCAGATCGAATGGATGCTAAACACAGCCACCTTTCTATCATCAACACATTATAACTATGCACAACAATCTCCTTCATATTTATTCATATAGAGAACATTCACTACCAAGGCTCAAGTTTATCAACATGGAGTAGGTAAGAAAAACAAAACTATAAATTTCAGTATTCTATGTGAAATCCAGCTACTAAAAGAGGATTTTGCAGAAAATATTCAAATCTACACACTACTTGAAAAGAATCTGTGAGACCTGTATTGAGAACCATGACCGACAAATGCAAGCTGTACAAAACCAGCTAATCAATAAGACCCGAGTTTGACGTATAACAAGATTTGTAAGTTTTAAAGAGTGTAAATACTCAGAATAAGAAAGTTCAAGGTGCACTCGTCGTTGCGTTCAGTTGCGCCCAAGCTGGGAATTCCATCAATGGCATAAAGATGTGAGCGGCACTGTTCATGTAGGCGACTGTGATTAGAAGGCATTCTATCGAAATTATGGTGCCAATCGTAACCTAAATATATCGGAATTCTGAAGAACATATTCAAATTCTGAAGGACTGGCTGTAAATCCATGTCTAATATGCACCAGTATTTTGTTTCAAAGCATTCTCTATTTCTTAGAGGCAGTGTCCCGGCAGATTCGCGCCCTGGGCATATTGCTATGGGTGGGGGGGGGGGGGGATTCCGGGTTATCGCACTGACCTCCAGTCGCAGTCCGGCTGGTTGATGTTCCCCCTGAACCGAGAAAATAGCCCTTGAACCGGCGCGAAAAACCCCAATCGGCGCGTGCTCGGACAACTTCACTTATCGTTTGCGCGGGACCCGACGACCGCTCGCCCGCATTGTGCATGCTATCTAAACCAAAAATTACAGGTAGCAGGGTCTGCGTGCCAAGGCCCCCCAGCTTCACTGAAATTCTCGTCCAAGCTGCCTTTTGAAAATTGGGTGGACGCCCCAAAAAAGGTCTTTTCACTCGTTTTGAAGATCAGATTCGGGGTCTACGGGCCGAAAAAGCCCAAAACATGCAAAAAGATGAAAATGCAATATTTGCCGGGACACTGCCTTTAAGTTATTTAGAAGATCTTTCGAAAAAACTGACCATGTCTTTCACTTTAATCATGCCAGATCCAAACACGATTGCGTTTGGAGGTGTGCCGACAGGCAAAACAAAAGCAAATGAACAAGCGAGAGTGGCTGGTAGCATCAGTGAGAACGGGTGCCGTTCCATTCCCACAGCCTAAACTTTCAGCATCTCCTTGCTTAAAATCTTTGTGAGCTAGATTCGTTTTTACCAATGTTCCAACTATCGGAACAAATATCGTGGCTGTCACAGTATTGCTGCAGATATTGGTTATAGCCATACATACGACCATGACAAGCATTTGCAGAACCCACACGGGTAAGTGATCAAGTGATTGAAGAGATTCACCAATTATGTCCGACAGCTTGGCTTCCTTAACACCTGCAAGAAAGAAATAGGTGACCTTAACTTCCGCTGTTGACATAAGGTCGGGTTCATACTGGTCCGGAAGTTCCGAAACAGTTCCAGCATATGTCATGGTTGACAATTTCAGCTGTAAGGCTTGTTTGAATCGGCTGCGGATCGTATTGTTCCTTACAGGCTCTGACGAAGGCGATCTGCCGAAACGTTAGCCGTGTATTGCATAAATCAAGCCAATCTCGTGCATGGCTCAAAAAGAAAGAACAAAGTTCCAGCATAGTTATCGAACTGTTTCGGAACTTCCGCAGTATGAACCCACCCTAAGGCGGCCAAGCATTCCACAAATTCTCATATCTTTTGCTTATACATTTCTCACTATCGCTTATACATTTTTAATTCGTGCATTTCCTTGAACATCAAGTGTGTAACAGCAGTGAGGCACGCGACAATATCTATGTATACTTTATGCCACACACCGTTCGAAACTTGGCACGATTGAAGCTTATGCGGGCGGACCTATAGTATACAGTCGAGTAGGTTTAGCGATAAATATAGTGTGCTTGCACAGAAGGTGAAATGCGGTGAAATTTGCGCGTGAACAAGTAGCCACGTCAGTACCGCGGGTATCTTACGCGCGCTTTTGGCCGGCGTCACAGTCGAAACTATTTCTTCATGCGCTGATTTTACCGCATTTAACCTTCTGTGCAAGCACACTATATTTACCGCTAAATCTACTCGTCTGTACGTAATCACGGACATCCTCAGTAGTTCGCACGTTGGCTAATGAACGCTGCTTACATTTTCTTGAACGATTTGCAAAGCGCGGAAATTCAAAATAGCTTGGACAAAAAAACAGTCTGCTTACAACAAATACCACTGATACGAAATTCTAATGCGTATAAGCGTAACCGGAACTGAAACTGTATGAAATTCAAATTCATGTGAATGGAAGAATTGCCCTTTTCTGAATCAGCTGGCAAAGTTTAGATGCACGGGCAAGTAGAGTCTCGCTTTTTTTACGTAGATCAAATCAGAGTGTAATTTAAGGTACTTTGAGAGTTTTTGGCTTTTTTCTCGCAACTCCAACCACTATATGTGTTAATTGAGTCATCTTGCAGAGCTTGTCTTGCTCTATCAAATGCTACCCCACATGCCCACACACCTCTCCTCAGATTCCCACTGCTTTAGCCTTACGAAAGTTTATTTTCTTTACAGTCTGAAACAACCCCTCATTTTACATTCACTAATGATTTTTTACTTGCCTGCAGCCAAAGCAAAGCCTCCACCAAGCAGCAACACTACGCTCCATGGAAAGGTCTTTTGCATTGTGGGCCAATCCATTAGGCGAGAATTCTGTAAAATTTCGTTGTAAACAGTTCTTTTCCGATTTCCTTACAATTTTTAGCTTTTTTTAGTTCAAATCACTAGCTTTTGTGAATTGTCGACCATCAACCGTCAGTCATTTTCGATCATAATCAAATTGAATTATTCACAAAATACTTCAAACCTCAACGAACTCAGATTTTGAACTCTTCTGCCCCTCCCCTCTTCACAATACTTTGCAAAGTTTTTGAAAAAGCTGAAATTTTTATAGTCACAAATTTAGTTACAGGTTGTGCGCAGGGCTCGGCACAGGTGGCTTATAAGCAAGCTAAATTTTGTTTTTGGGACAAAAAGCGAAGGGGATTTCGTTTTTGTGGTCGAAAAGAAACAAAACTTGCGACGTATTTTTTTGGTCGACGTTTCGTTTTTTGGAGATATTTTAGGGATTATGGTCTAGGGTCAAGGTTAAAGGGGACTTCGCAAAAAGTCGCAAAAGTCAAGGAGGTCTTCGTTTTTTACATTTTCAACTAGCCACCTCTTTCCGAGCCCTAGTTGCGTCTCACTTATTTTTATTGGTGAAAATCATAGAACTTTATAATAATGCCTCCTTTTCCGAAAACTTCAGAAGTATAAGCTTGCAAAAAAATGCTTCGCAGAAAATTTTTCCCCTTTCACTGCGAGACAACTTCATTACCCTTCACCCATTCTCTCCTTTTTCCAGCTTTCTTTTCAAAGCAAAATGTTCCTCACCCTTTTTCTTTCTTCTTTGCTTTTGTAAGTAAACAACTCGGGTCTTTCACTTGGAAGGGCAAAGAGTAGTACAGCAACAATCATGGCCGACGTAGCATCAGTGTAGCAATTTTTTGGAAAATAGCTACTGAATCCTAAAAGCTCAATATTATTTAGTTTCATCTTTGCTAATTCTTCTTTTCTGCCAAACTTTAGGCAGAAGTGCTAAAAGTTACCTTTGAAGAATCCTGGATCTCTGAATATCCACAGCGATAGCAGAATGAGGAAGCAACATATCACAGATTTTTCAGCATAGCTACAAAACTGGTTCGAATGAGCAACATACTGATTAAGGCCTTCTTACCTGGTTCTTGGCAGATCCTCGTATCTTTTGCGCAACATTTCAGTGATATGGTCGTCTTTAGAAGGAGCATCTCTCAGGAAAAATAGCGTCAATGTGAGCCAAACCACGAATAAGCATATGACCATCAAAGGGAAGGCAAAAATGAGCCATGTCATGTAGTTCATCCCAGTGTCCGCTTCATTGAAGAGCCTTAAATAGACATTCATGGCACAGTTATTATTTTCGAAACAAGATTATTTATTTGGCCCCCGTTTCAGCATCAAGTTTTGGCAGCGTTCCAGCGAGATGATCTGTCCCGCGTGGGGTCGACACGCAGAAGTTATGATGTAACTAAGCTAAGCGCATGATATACGTAGGAGGACAACTGTCGCTCGGCTATCCCAACAAAGAACAGAGTCTGAGATTTCTCAAAATCAATGGGAAAAGGATGCCTAAGAATGAGACCTATTTATCTTATGGTGTCGGGGTCAGACACGCGGCTGTCTCGATCTTTTTCTGATCTGGTGCCGAATTCTGATCTTCAAAAAATCACAACAGGGAGAGATAAAAGGGGAAAAGAATAGAACTTTCAATTTTTTTGGGTCACTTTTGCCTGCATTTCAATATTTTATACAAAAGATGGGCAGGAACGGTGAGGGGAGCAGACGACTACTTTTTTATTCAGAGTAGTCAACGGCATAGTAATATAGATCTAAGAGTTGGTATGTGTGATGAAAAATACCAAATCTCATGATTGAATCGGTTCCAGAATTCTTTTGTAGCTAGAAAATCTTGTGATGTAGGTTTGCAATAGCGGGATGCTGTGTGGGGGTATAGCTCAGTGGTAGAGCGCTCCCTTAGCATGGGAGAGGGCTGGGGTTCAATTCCCCATACCTCCAAAACGTTTTGCATTTGGTATGGCCGCGTCAACTTGGCAACTTTTCGCTCATTTTAGATTCAGCTGAAAACAAGATCAGTTCAAATGGGTAAAATCTTACTCTTTCAATATTCCAAGCATTACAATGTTGCTAGGAGTTCCATTTACAGTACCGATACCACCAATATTTGCAGCAACACAAATGCATAGCACTAAACCCGTGGACATTCGCTTGCAATTCGCACGTCCTCTGTTCCTAAAAATGAGATTTTCACATAGAATGCAGATTTTTCCAGTAATTTTCCAGTTAACTCGTACCCGCTCTCCAACTGGGCATCACAAGCTAATTGTGTAACCACTGATTGAGCAATGGGCACCATCATCGCTGTGGTGGCAGTGTTCGAGATGAACATGCTGAAAGTGAAATTCTTTAGATTAGCCTCAAATAATCTATGCTAATAAAAAGTCAAGTCAAAAGTTCATCAAAATCAATTTTCTAAAAATTTTGAAAGTTCTTAGTCGTTAGAGTCCGTAGTTCTTTAACCGTTTGCCTAGAAAAATTTTTGTTGAGCTGTTAAGTTGTAAGCGCGGAAAATAAGAAATTTGCAGAATCCTACCAAAATAGATATTTTGGGAGATAAAAAAATAAATTGAATGCAGCTAGCCAAAATATTGAGCTATTTCATATTATTGTAATGCTTTGATGAAGGTAGGCATATGGTGAAACATAGCAAGTTTCTGAAATTTTGTATGAATGGTACATATACAGGGTGTCCCCAAAAAAATGTGAACACTGTTTGATTGTTAATAACTCCCTTGCTTTCATGTCTTTCTCCGAGCTTGAGGTAACTTAGAATTACAGTAGGGAGCGAATCGGCGATCGCTCTTCATTACTGTAAGATTACGGTAGGAACTTCAACAAGGAATAGGCCATTGGAGGCCATATTCTGCCTCGGAACGGAACCAAACAAGCCAAAAATCTCTATATTTTGGTAATGGAAGACGCTGATTTCGAATATGAAGTTTCCACTTTACTGTGATGCTTCTTTCCAATGTTATCATAGGTAAACCGTAATAACTGAATTTCCAGCATATGTCACAAATGTGATTATTCCGTCAAAAAAGCTAAAAGCATCTAATGGAGTCAGCGTGCACGAAAACCCTAGTACACGATTTCTCAGATTCTATGAATAAACTCTTTCAAATGGCATATTTCACAATAGATTCACATGCTAGGAATTCATACCGTAATCTTACAGTAACGAACAGCGATCGGCGATTCGCTCCATACTACAAATTTAAGTAGAACATCGGTCCAGAATGATGCCTCAAGCTCGGCGAAAGACGTGAAAGCAACGAAATTATTAACAATCAAACAGTGTTCACTTTTTTGGGACACCTTGTATAACCACCTTTATCTCAAGTTGTGTAAATGTGAAAGGTTGGCTCCGGTAAAGTGATCATAAATTTGTCCTAAATACTAAATTCATCTAGAGAACGGAAATAGCAAAATCTTCCTGGAACTTGTCTCTTCCTATTTAAATGACGAGAACACAATGTTCTAAGCAACTTAACTTTTGGAAATCCATTTCAAGGAAAATATTTTCAGTTTTGAATTAGGTAAGGACTCAAGTACATACTGAATTATTTATGAATTATTATAAGATTCTAGGTTTACTGAAGTAGATAAGGTAATACTTACCTCAAAAGTGCAGTGACCATCATAAAACCAAGCATGATCCTGAAATTAAATTCTCATTAACATAAAATTGATCCTTCTTTATTATTGGTATTGGTATGGTAAACTTGAATTTTCTATCCTTGGTATAATTTGTCTCCTTATCACTTCTAATTTTTTCCTTTCCTCTTCTCTTTTCTCTACTACTTGCCAACTATACCTAAGCCATCTTCATCAATGGCAAAACTGAATAGACTGCTTGTGAATAACTAGACCATACAGCATTTGATTATTAATCTTTCCTACTTCTTCTCTTTCTCTTTTTCTTTCTCTTCTTTCTTTCCCATTCTTACGATCTCCTTCACTACTGATGAGTTGTTCCGGGAAGATCGTATTTCTACACGACACGAAAATTAAGTCTTTCTTTGATTTTTTTTTGTTACTGGACAACTTGATTTGCTTTAACAAATTATTTACACTCGCAACTTACTCTGAACAAAATCGAAAATAACCTACCATTTTGGCTCTCCGCCAACCAGTCTCAGAACCGATAGTGCTACCCGTTGATGCAAGTCACATTTCTCCACAGCTGCTGCCATTATTAAACCACCAATAAATAGGAAATTTGTGTCCTGCAAAGAAAAATCTACGCAGTTGTTTCTGTACCATTTCCATCCAGGCTCGGGACAGATGGCTGATAAGCAAGCTGATCATCGTTTTTGGGATTAAAAGCAAAAGGGGTTTCGTTTTTGTGGCCGAAAAGACACAAAATTTGGGCCTTTTTTTCAAATCGACGCTTCGCTTTTTGGAGATTTTTCAAGAAATATGGCCTAGGATCAAAGGATACTTCGTAATAATATGCAAAAGTCAAAGGGGACTTCGTTTTTTGCATTATCAACTAGGCACTTCCTGTCGAGCCCTGTTTCCATCTCCCCCAAAAAAATCATATGATCATTAATATCTGATTCGTTAGAACTGTTTGATTATGCGATCGCGAATCTGCGCTATTTGCACAAAAAATTTGCTATTTGGCGCCTGCTTGCCGTCTCAATGACGTCAAACGAAACACTTGTGATTATCACGAGTGAAGAAAGTTATGAGCATTTTGAAATGTGATCCGACAGCATCTTGAGGTTCGTGGTCGGAAATTTCGCCTAAGAGCGGTCAGCTGGGTGATTTTGCATGATCTTTAGACTAACTGTGATGAACTGTCACTAACTGCCAGTTTGCAGGAGAATTAATTTCTTTCTCCTTCTAGATGACATCACTATTATCAGAGTAACATTCATCATTGTAAGATAACATTTCGTGAGAATGCAGAACAAAAGGGCATTGTTAGTGGCATATAAGAGCAGTATGAAGATTATTCTAGCAAATTGGAAACAAAGCTGATCTTAAGAAACTCTAAAAGACATGACGTGAACAAAAGAGAAGAAAGAATTCTACAATCTATTCTATTACCTATTTTCTATGTTTGAAGATGCTCTTAACATCTCAAGATCGATTTTCACTTTATTACTTACTCTTCTTTGCGGGGGTTCCTCCCTCCAGATATACCGATTTTTTCTACACCTCCGCTTCAAGTGTTGTACTTACAGCTTACATGCCGACTTCCTACGACGAAATTCCAGGAATGTTTGGCACATTCTTGCAAGGTGCACTTTCAAAATTTTTTTGCGACTATCGCAAGAATTTGAAAATACACGACGGAATTTCATCAACTTGTACATAAGACTTTAAGAATCAGTCCTAACAGGCTTTCCACCCTGAAAATGTGCTAAGAATGGTGCTAAAGTAAGTAAGAGGCTCGACGAACGAAAACGGGAAAAACCAATTCTCCTGGTTTTATCATTTTTCAAAGGATCTAAGGAGAGGATGAATAGCTCGAAAGTTTAGGTCATTTATAAAATCGTAACGTTGAATTTGACTGCCGTCTTTGCGCCTACAGGAGCATAAAACATCATACAAAAAAGCATCACATCACGCTCAGCTCACTCATTTTCAGTGTCCTGATACTATCCCAAGTAAGCAGAAATACCACCTTAGTAGGGATGAAAACCATGGGGTAGTGCGTGTCGCGCGCGGTCGCGCCATTGTCACGATTTTTCGAATGCCCTATAGCTCAGCTAGAGCAAAAGCGACTCTAAATTCTTAAATTCTATCGCCAGCCAATTTTATTATTTGTAAATGGCCAGAAATTACAGGAATTTTCCGCATACCTACAGTATTAAAACGTTGACGACAGCGGACATTTCGACTTGTCTGCTTTGTGGGACAGAGCTTTTTATGGGCTTTTTATATTTTTCGGCAAAAATAACACAGATTGTGATCTACAGCGTACATACCGTAGTCCAGAGAGTTTGCCGAGAAACATAAACCGTACTTTTAATTACAGCACATACGGTAAATTCCGAAGTGAATTTTTCCCATACTAAAACCATTTTGACGAAATCTGAACTATAACCCATCATGTGGGTCACATTGTCCCACGTGGCTGTCACTGCATAACCCACCATGTGGGTCACACTGTGGTCAATACGTTAATCTATTTTTTGCTCTTACAAGCAGTGAATGATAAATGTTTTGTTATGATTTTATGAGAAAGCATGGCAAAACATACCATTCACTGCTTTTGCAAGAGACGTGTGAAAATGTGCGCTTGTAAGGTGAGCAATCATAAAGGCATCCATACTTGCATAAAAGTCAAGTTTGAAATGACACAAACTCACATTTATAAATTGTTGAGCTGTTTCGGTACAGGTCATTACACCAGTCAATGGGAAAAGAATCACTGGAAGCATTGCTGTGACGGCCAGTGGCAATACTTCGGTCATCCAATAAATTGCCATCACGCCGATGCAGAAAGCACAATGCCATTCCTTGAAAGTATAAATGAAAAATTAAAATAGCAGAGAATGTAACGTTAGTTCATAGCACAAGTTTTGAGACATTTTATTCATTTTTGGCACATATGAGCAGTGGGCAAAGAAGTACCTATTGGCATCACTTCCACCTTTACAGATATGGGTTACAGTAAATATAAAGGCAATTTTGTGACGACACACAAATTCTGTTTTTTCTTTTGCCTTTAAAAATTCTCTCATTTTAATTTTTTATGCTTTGTTGGATTCCTAGGAACATTAGTACTAATATGAGAGAAATTCTGAAGGTTTGGGCTGTTCAATAAAGCAAGTTCGAAATTTACCAAAAATAATTCAGAAAAATTTCAAAAAATTCAAAAATTGGATTCATGTGTGGCAGGTATTATTACAAGAGTTACAGCCCTCCACTCAATTTGGAGATGAGAAAAAATCTTTGGAGAAAATTATGGAGACTTTTTTCCTTCAAGTGTAACAAAACTCATGTTACAACCTAATAATTTATAGATTTCTAATGGTTCTAATCAATCAAATAATCATCAAATATTGCACACGATATACGTCGAAAAGACCATTGTTAACCAAATATTTATTTATTGCTAATGTAGTAAAACAACAAGAGTACATTAATATTTAGAACTTGAGAAAAGGGAATCCTCAATTCAAAATTACTGCAAAAGGTGGAAGTAGACAGTTGTTTGAAATATAAGTAAACTGTGGAAAAAAGATCATTCTCTTGGAAATGACTATCAATGTAGTATACGTGACATAATCGGTGTGAGGATTCATATAGAATTTTTAAACTTCTACATAGTTGCAAGAAACCAAGAAAACTTTTGTATTAGCAAAAGTTTAAATATTTGTGCTGTTAGAGTTTTCGATACCATTTCAAGCAGAAAATTGTCCAGCTTACCTTCTCCTTATACATCAACAGTGGTGACAAAATTAAAGGTCCAAGAATTAAGATCAAAGCCGGTTTACATCGTTGTAGTACATTCAACCCAGTTTCGAGCTTCGTCACCTAAAAATACACAACTTCTTCGTACAAAACTCAAATGTTGCTCATTTTTTGTCCATTTTAGGAAAAGTCACTTCTGAAAACAATCTGCCAGTCAACTGAAAGAGCCTTACCAGCATTTCAACCCTCCTTGGCAAACCGCAGAGTGGTTCAGTTGCAAGAAGGGCTGTTATCAGTTGCTTAAAATTTTTGTTCGCGCTTTCAATAAGATATGCATTCAAAAACTAAAATTTTTGAATAAACTAAATGAGATCTTCGCTGGAATCCTGCTGGGAATCATTACTAAGTCTTTTTCAGCAATAGTGAGAATGTACCATTAAATATAACAATGATGACTATGATGGAGCTAATCATTTTAGGTTATGGCTTCCCACATAGACAAAAGTGAAAACTTACCTAGATTATGAAAAATTCAATAAGCCTGCTGTTTTCAGTTTTTACAATTCATACACTGAAAGTCACCTCTCTGACTCTCAATTTTGGTCTAAATCCATTACAGAGATGCTTTCCGAATAACACAATTTTCCAAGGAGTGTAAATTGGAGTGGCTTCAAAACTTGGGACACGGAAATGGCAAAAAGTAACAAGGAAGTACAAGACATGCTTTTTATACATCAGGCGCTAATTGAGGAAGAGAACCAAGGACAGCTATATCACTGTCAACATTCTAACCCTCTAATCGCTTCGCTAGCGTGAATTGAGGTTCGAAAGAATTTCAAGGAAAGAAAGAGGAGTAGATAAACGATATGCGCGAGATGTAGTCAATCTCAAGAGTTTTCATATCATCACAAACTTTGTATTAAGAGATGGTCAGCAGATCCAAATGGTGTAAAAACATCAGTATGAGTAAATATTTCATTATTAAAAAGCTTATATTATGCAACCGAAAAAAACCCAAAAATTCTCGTAAACGCTTAGACTGCCAAGCACATACATTTGTATGGACTGTGGATATATTCACATTGTGATCAGATGTTTCAGCTACAGTAACCCAAGAAGCAAGACTTTTGCAAACTCTTTTTAGATCTCTATGACTAGCAAGCGTGAGATCGCATTGCGGACGTTGTCTTAACAAGTTTGAATTTGTTTTTCCCTGTTTCTAAAGAGTGAATAAACCTGGATGAGACAATATAACGCGTATAAACCTGCTAAGTCACGATTAGGCTTATGAATGAATGATATATAAACGTCTAAAATCTAGTGAGAGTGATTATTGATAATTAAACTGGATCAATAAGATTGAATTTTCAGTAGCTGTGGGAAAATATTTAAAAATTTAACTTATCTTGAGAATTATTAATCCCAGTCATAAATACCTTGGGAGAATAGAGCTTGTAAAAAATTATTTAAAGTAGGAGTATCACACATCAGAGAAAATTTGCTCCACATAAACTGGAAGAGAATTTGGTTGCTTTTGAAACTACTGGAAGTGAAAATTATTTGAGATCTGCTATATGGTGGGATGACTCGAACCATAACTTTTTGGCTTTTTCGATTATAAGTGAAAAAATCTTCATAAACCTTCATAAATGTAGCTGAAAGATGAGGAAAGGGCAAACCACACAACATTTTTATACACTAATGGTGCGAAATTTTCCAAAATTTTCCGAAATCTCACGGTTTTTAGTGTAGACGGTTGAGTATGAATAAATATAAATATAAATAGTGCAAAATTAGCAGTAAATAACCTTAGTCAAACGCTTCATCTTTTCTATCATTGCTGCCACCATTGCTGCGAACACGACGGAGTAGGGGGGGGGGGAGGGGAAGACGTTCAAGGGAAAAAAGCGAGCACCGGCAAAGAATGTGAAGGACTGACAAACGCGACTGCCGCCCTTGTTTGGTGCGAGCTCAAATAAATTGTCGTTTTTAGTCGCTTTTGCATCTATCACATGTCCAAGGCTTGAATCACAGCTGATTGTCTCCTGAACCGTCTCTTTAGTTTCTAATAATGAAATGACAAAAGTGTGACTGAGTGCAGAAATGGTGCCTGAACCCTGTATGATGATGTGAGGAATTATTTAATAATTGGGAACGGTGTTCACTTCCGAAATTTGATTGCTTTCATAACTTAGCGATCAAGAGCAATAGATGGCAAGCTGGGAAAAAGCTTAATGATTTTGCTAAGACCAAACTTTCCCAAAAAAAGATAGATTTTTTTACCTCAAAATATTTTGCCGCTTGTTGGACCATACGGAACAAACTGAGCATTGCACCACCGCGTTTGCTCGAGAGCGGTTTTGCGAGAACAAGAAACCGATAAACTCATTCTGCTCCTGTTTTTTCGCCTGTCCGCTGGAGCTTAACGCCCGAAGGAAGCTTATTTTAAGAAGCAAAAACTTCGAAAGTGATTTTTGGTGGAAAAATTCAAACATTTTTAGCTACAAAGTATATAATTTGTAGTTTTGTAGTCGCTTTGCTTGAGAAAAAAATTTATAGGAAAAATTTCATGCTTGTGATTCCGGCAACATCCAAGCATATGAAATGGTTACAGAAGGAATAAATTCACGTTTTGCGCAGCATGGCCTTTTTTTCACGGACAAATGTTGTCGGAGTCGCAGGAGCACTATATTAGCCTTTCGATACTTGATCGAATGACGATAGCTGAAGGCCTTCACCTTTTCTTTTCTTTTCTACCCTATAATTCTTATATAAATTTAATTCTCTTTTGAAAAAAAAACTTTTGGAGAATATTTTAAATGGATTCTGCTCTATAGTAAGCAGCTTGACCTTTTTATCCACAATTCTTGCGCAAATAAAAATTCTGGACTTTTAAAAAATGCAGCACTTACCTTCTGATACGAGTAGCTGTTGAGAAAATTGGCACTCGACGAGCTCTCCAACATTCGCTGACGAGACTCCGAGTTCTCAGGCCACATCGAAAGAAGAAGCGACATCCTGGAAACGGAAACGAATTAGGGAAAGTAGCTTAAAAATCCAGGAATTACGAACTTTTTTGTGCGAAAGGAAGAATGATGAGAAAGGCAAATAGAATAGGAGTAGTCTGCAGATAAAATTTGGTTGGTTAGTTTTCCAGCAAAAAAGCGATATTTATACATTTCTTCTTAGCTGAGAGGAAGATTAATTCCCATTTCTTCATATTTTCTTTGGCTGATTGAAAAATAAATTTTTCTTCTCCGTCTTTTTTAGGACGAAAAAATTGAATTCTGTTCCGTCATGCTTCTTCTAGCTGGCGGAATAATTAAAATTGATCCTTAAATTTTTTTTCAACTGAGAAAAAAATTAGTTCTCTTTCACTGCACTGAACTAAATTTCAAATTTCACTTTCGTATCGTATTCATATTTTTCGTATCTTCTAGAAGATCTTTTGAACACTGGCTTACTATCTTAGATCCGCCTTATAAGCCGAGAGATAACTGGCGTTTTACCCATTAAAAGTTCATAATCTACAAATTTCCTTCTACAACATAAATTTACAGATTTGATCTCATAAAAAGTTGGAAAAAATAAATATTTCCTTAGTAACCTTACGTCATTCAAATGACCGCGTCCCATGTTACTACAGATTATTTGCTTATCATGGCTTCAGCAATCAGATGCCATGTTTGGCAGTCAGTAATTGTAAAAGTACAAGCAATATAAAGTTTTTAAGCTGTAAAATACAAATTGTATGCAAATACATACATGAAATTACGTGTGTGTTCTATGAATTAAAACTAATACATATTTCACTTTAAAAACGGAGAAACTGTCAAGAGGCGCGATTTCTTTGGAGATCACCAATCTAATAGCCCAATTCAGAGCTATGCAAATCATTCGATACAGTGGCGCACCGAGGGGGCCCCTCCTCACGAAATTATTGAAAGTTATTTATATGAGTTATAAAAGTTTGCAAGCGCTTGTTTATATTCGTACTTGTACTTGTCAATAATTAATATAAACTTTAAAAACTTTTTAAAATTTTCAGGATCTGGCTGCCGCCCCCCCCCCCTCTTTCTCGAAATTTTGGGGCTATGGGCCTGCGAAAATTTCAGGAGGCATTTTTCGGTGCGCATGGTTGAAGCCGTGCACCTTCATCAAAAATATTTTCGTCCCCCTCCCCCGAAGGAACTGGCCACGTCAGTGATTCGAGAATACCAGACAAGGTGCTTAAGCTTACAACTATTTTTGAAGCTACTATTTGCTAAGTTTGACGATTTTTATGAAAACTTGATTGAAATATCCACGAAAAAGTCAAGTTGTATTTTCACAGGTGTTTGACCTGCAACACCTATAATTTGGATTCTATAACAAGATACTATTAGGTTGTCAAGAATATAATGTCCGTTTTTATTTGCTTGCTTTAACAAAGCAACCAGACTGAACCCAACAAAGGGTAAGGGGTACTGTTCGATAGAGCAAAGCAAGCTCTACAAAATGGCACTCATGTCTTTGCGCCAAGCTCGATCCACTGAGAGTTCGAACTCAAAATCTAAAGATTTCCAAATGCCCAAAAAATCGAAAAAAATCAGATCTTCGTCCAGATAATTTCTACGGACCTCCCACTCGCTCACATCAATACTATCGATATCTGATATCCATGTGTGCGATTGCCGTATATTTTCCTTGACAAGAAATTGAGAAAACAAAAATTTCCCCGATTTTCTCAAAGCAATGCTGAGCCGTTTCTGCAAGTGTGGTTCTATACTATAAGCCTAGGTAAGTATAACTGTAGATTTTCAGCCCATTCCAAGCGGTAGTTTTCGAAAAATAACGAATTCGGATTTTTTCGTTTCAGTTTCAGTGCTAAAATCGACATTTCTCGAAAAGTACCGCTCGAAATAGGCTGAAAACCTACAGTTATGCTTACCTAGGCTTGTGGTATAGAACCACACTTGCAGAAACGGCTCAGCATTGCTTTGAGAAAGTCAGGGAAATTTTCTTTTTCTCAGTTTCTAGTCAAGGAAAAAATACGCCAATCGCACATATGGATATCTGATATCGATAGTATTGATATGAGCGAGTGGGAGGTCCGTAGAAATTATCTGGACGAAGATCTGATTTTTTTTTCGATTTTTTGGGCATTTGGAAATCTTTAGATTTTGAGTTCGAACTCTCAGTGGATCGAGCTTGGCGCAAAGACATGAGTGCCATCTTGTAGAGCTTGCTTTGCTCTATCGAACAGTACCCCTTACCCTTTGTTGGGTTCAGTCTGGTTGCTTTGTTAAAGCAAGCAAATAAAAACGGACATTATTTTCTTGACAACCTAATAAGATCGGACGAATTTACACATCTGGTAAGAAATTTAAATCGCTCCTAGAACATCCAAAACACCAAAAATGCGCCAATTGATGTCCATCTGGCAATAAAAATGGCGCCTCTCGATACACATCCCAAAAAGTATAAAATGCCAAATATAAAATGTTATAAAAAATTAAATCTAGGAGAGCTACTAGGTTGAGTAGCAGATATGCAGTCCGTTTCATTGTGTGCAAAAGCACAATTTTCAGGATGTTCACGGATCCAAAAAGAAATGCAAAAATTGTAAGCATTTATGGTTAACCTAGCACAGCTGTGCCCAAAAATGGGAGGAAGGCAATAAGATTCAAGAAAACAATCATCTGACTATTTGTTACGAAAATGGTGCAATTGCACAAATCATCGAAAAAAAAGTCTACTGTCTGTGAGGACTCGGAAACCATTTGTACATTTGATGAAACCTGACGATAAAATATGTATTTTCTTCAGTTTCTTGACTAATGATAGAGTATAAACCACCGTGACAATTTTAGTAGCAATGGACTAACGGGCTTTCTCGCCACAAGTGTCCGTGTTGGGAAAACAATCGTAAAAATAGCCACTCGTTACGTAAACAACATGAGTATCGAGTGAGAGAAGGGTGCGCATGATGGAATGGGGATACCTCTGAGAAGAGCGAACAAGGAAGAGTTCAGAGTTCAGAGATCACGGGAATCTCGTGGTTTCGGTTGTGAGTTCGTAGAACAGCTTGAAAGAGACTAAAAAACTCATGAAAAATTTGAAAGAAAGAAAAATTTTCTGATCTCTACTACGACAGCCTTCTTTATGATCAGCTACTTCCAGAAAATCATGAAAACAGCTTGAGAATGTGAGAATAGACACATGTGTGGTTAAAACTCGTTCAAAGTTCAGGAAAAACAGAATAGTTTTTTGCTCTGACTCTAAAATGAGCGGCCTTCTTTTAGGCGCAATATGAAGGTCTCTAGGATGACCCCATGTGCAGAGTTCCATCATTTTATATGACATCGGACAGAGGTCAGTGCTAAAGACTTTGCCGCTAGTGGTAATAAACAACCGCATAATATCTGAGTAAACGTATAATTGAAAAATTTGTTTGATGATGTTGGAGCTAAGAGTTAGGCTTTAACATGATAGAACTGTGTAAAAATATGAGAGGAAAATTTTTCCAGTATTAGTGAATTTACTGCACACTCAATGCCCGAAGAACTTTGACCTGAAAGTGCAATATTAAGCGATTGATAGTTCTCGTTCTCTTTTTATGCATAGCTTAAGAACTTGATATTTTTTCATAGCTCAAGAAGTTTGACGAAAGCTTAGAAGTGACATGAAAAAAGTTGGAATCTCGGACATAAATTGAGTTCTGATCTTTCAAACCAGCACAATCTCTCAGATTGCCTAATCTTGAATCGCTCGTTCAGAATGGGGAGTAACAAAGGCAATGCATTCACGGAATGACGTAGTAACAACTTCACATGAATTGAAAGCTGGAACAAAAGAGCAAAGGGAGCGAAGACTGTGTGAATGAAGTTCACGCTGGGATTCTCAACCCCTGCGCAGGCCAATGGAATGTGTGACTTTTTCAAAAATCTTCGATCTGTTCGAAGTAGTATCGTCTATAGTTGTAAGCAAGATTATTTGATCAGTGAAGTTCAAGCACCTTGTTAAATTTCCGTAATATTTGGATAAATTCAAGAAATATAAATCTTGAACGAATGAAACAGCTATCACGATTTTTAACTCTTCAAACTTAATCAGAGAAAACATTGGCTTTGATAACGTATTTCTTTAGACCTAAGTGTGAACTCAATATTTAGCACAGGCCAAACAGAATATTTTTGCATTCCACCGAAGGCTTCGCAAATGGTTTTTGTACGAATATTCAATAGAGAGCAACATTTTTCTTGAGATAATCTCAATGCAGAAATATCTCGATCTAAACTCAGTATGTATGACTCAAAATGATTATGATGGATGGAGAGATTGCGAAGGGAAATCGAGAGTTGTTGACATAATAAAAGCGTAGGAAATGAGTTTGGTCTTGCAAGCTTTTACTTCGGTAATAATTCGACAGTATTCCTTCGCTTATTTGCATCAAGTAATTCACAGTTCGAATGAGTGCATTCCTTCCATTCTAGTTCATTAGGGGTGTAAAACGCTTCGGACAAGAAACCGAATTAGAAGACCCAAAATAAGTTGTATCGGTGTAATCCGGCCAAAATTACTGGATTTGCGGGATTTACGCGACTTGCGGGATTTAGTTATAACTTCTTCTAAAACAATTTTATTTGGAATCTGCAAGAAGATTTGGCTCTAGCTTGATGAGGCGAATCTTTTAGTATACATTATGCCCGTTTTCCATAGTGCATTGTATTGCATTGGCCTGCGTTATGAGTTTATCAACATGTATTGTTGCTCATATGAACAAATTTTGAAAAGTCATATCTCTACCGTACAACCATGGACTACGGGCATAATGTGTACTAAAAGATTCGTCTCGTCAAACTAAAGCCAAATCTTCTTGCAGACTCCAAAGAAAGTTGTTTTAGAAGAAGTTATAACTAAATCTCGTAAATCCCGCAAATCCCGCAATTTTGGTCGGATTCGCTACAACTGCACTTAAGATTCTGCTCTCTTCACCCCCCCCCCCCCTCCAAGGCTCGCAAATATAATCGCAGCT